AAAAAAAAAAAAATATCAATAAGGCGCGCTGCCAAAATATTTCGTATGATTGTAGCTATAAAGGGAAAAAAATTTAAAATAAAGGGTGCAAGGAAGAATGCCATATTTATACACGATTTAAGAAATTTCAATTTTTGAGAGAAATATATACATTTCACGTAAATGTAAAACTATTCTATATATTTAGCATATACGTATTTATAATATACATATATATTATATTAAATATGTTTTAGAGAAATAAACATGCCTGTGTTCGGTATCGGGCATTTTTTTTCGAAATTTGTATACGCACGAGCAAGACCAGTTTTTTGTAGACTTTATGTTTTCTATTGTCTGTGATATTATTGCAAAAGTGAACACACCTTGTTGTTGTTATTGTTGTTAATTATATTTTGGTGAAACAGAAGTTTTAGAGCTTTATAAGTTTTATTGTTTAGAGGGAGAGAGAAAGTGAAAGAAAGAGAAAGTGTTTGCGACACTTTTCTGATATTATTAATTGGCATTCTTGCTGACACCTAAACATTCTGATTTAGATAGAAAAACTGGCATCTTTAAATTAGCAATATATAATAAATATTATATATATATTGAAAGTAATATCACAGTTTTCACTCTATTTGTTGAAATTTTTAGTCTAGCTTTTGTTTGCTATGACTGAAGATCTGTTCTTCCATGTAGTTTATTCTAATCAATTAGGGGGTGGGATGCCATTTATAATAATAGTAGCTAATCAATGCATTACAAATTAGAGTAATCGATTAGCAAGTGCAACATAAAGCAATATATACCAGTAAATCCTGACATCGGACAAAATACTCGTTAGTCAGCTGGTCCATACAAAAAATATTCATCTATAAATCAATGTTATATCGCGTGTTTGTATAGAGAGAAATAAGTATAAAAATTATAAATTAACACTAATTGTACAAGATAGTTAACATACAGAGTATTTTTTTAATGAAGTATTATTGTAACATATATTGTAATGAAACTATTATTTTGTCTGTGTAATTTTTAAATGCATATAAATTATTATTTAACACAACATTAAATCCTGTTTCCTATTATATGAGACCGGCTGGCATAAATAAAAAAATATCATTAAGAACTTGAACACCAGAAAGAAAAGAAAAAAAATATTAAATATAAAAAACAAATTATATTTCATTGCGTTGCAACTATCCATGGACAATCAAATTCTAATATGGTGTTTAATTTATCTCCTCCATTACATGACATCGTGCCAAACGCAGAAATCATTTATTTTGAGGAATAGATGTTTATTTATATGTATATCTACAAGTTGTATATTGTATGAATTTTTGTTGGCGTAATATGTAATATTATTATTATTATTATATGTAATATTATTATTATTATTACTATTATTAATTATATTATGATTATTATTATTAATATAATTATTACTCATTTTAAATGGAATACATTGTAAAATGTTTGTTAAGTTTTTGACCTTGCTTACATAATTGAGTAAAATATTTAATATTTTAGATTACATAATTGAGAAAAGTATTTAATATTTTAGATTGTAACCGAAATAGAACTTTATTAATGAAAAAAAATGTGAAAAGATTTGATTATTTAAATGTGCATCCTTTTCGAGATATATTACGATATGTACTATCTATATACATACATATATATATATATATATATGTATATATATATATATATAGATACAAAATTATTGATCATAAAAGTGTAAAAAAAGGTAAAGATCAATTGTTGTTAATTAATGTTACTTTGAATACAATATATTAATATATATTTCTATATTTAAACTCTTAAATTATTTACATTTATCTTAACAATACTTTTTTTGATGATAAAAAAGTGTAATATTTATTTATGTAATCATAATTGGCGCGTTTAGAATTTTAAAGATGGCGCTAATATGGTGCGTAATATTTCGCATAGGATATCTGAATCTATAGTGAAAAATTTATCTTTTAGAATAAATGTGAAATTGATTTAAATGGATGTAAAATTAAAATTTTATGTTTTACTAAATATTTTAGAATTTTACAAAATATAATTTTTTTAATTAAATTTATGTTTTATAACATTTCAAATAGAATTCGATCACGTGATAATATAGATACCAACCTGCACACAAGTACCTAGATTGAGACACGTCGTTACTATACTTTATCGCGGTTCAAAACCTGTCGATCTGCATTCCAGTGTGCTGGTGGACGCCAAGCGTCGTGTTCTATGAGAGGTTGATCCTATCAAAACTCACAAAGATTTTCGTGAAAAAATGAAACAATTTGCTAAAAATTAAATCATTTATTATTTCTATCATATAAGAAAGATTGTGATCAATTCACGGGAAAGTCAAAGATCTGGAACAAATAGGTCGTACGGCTGGATTGAAGAAAAAAGGGTGAGTATACCAAGCATGATTATATTGTTTTCTTCTTTCATGTCATTGATCTTTGTCTTTTTCTTATTTCTCTGTTTCTCACGATATTTTTCTCATATTTTCATGATTTTTAGTAAAAATATAAATGCAATGAAAATTATTGAAAACTTTTCTTGCAATATCGTTGTAAAAAATCATCTACCGGAAGGGATGAGCCAATATTTTTGATAAAATTTGAATATAATGGATAATAAATTGTTAAAATGTATGATAACAATAATTATAATTATAATTATAATTATTTGAATTATTGACACTTGAAAAAACACTCGTTCGGATAATACCGCGCTACTTATTGCGCCTGCGTTCTAATAAAGTATACACGTTATGTACTTTTTGATTAAAGTCTTATACGCATTTTGATACGCGTAGTAATTCAGTCGAATTGTCAACTTCCCGATGAAGCTCATTAAAATCAACTGGCTATATTAGTATAATAATGTTATTGAGAAGAAACTTACAACTATTTTACAAATATTATTATTTAATTAATAAATATAAAATGAAAATAATAAGTGTAAAAATAAAGTGTTAATATTTGGATAAGTACTAGTTATGGGAAGTAGATTAAAATAGCATATGACACATATACGGCTAAATATTCGTTGCTCGTTTTACTAAGCAATCGTTATGCATGCTGAGCAGGAAAGTAAAGTTAGTCATATATCTTGTATCGAGATGAAACATGATGATGTGTGAAGAATAAAAGTTCACGTGATTAATCGACGATCAACGAAAAGGATGATCGGCACATAAGGATACTTGTCAAATATATTTAATCAACTGGAAACTTATCTTGTCGTTCCTGTTTATTATGTGTAATAGAATACCATAGTTTATCTGTATAAAAAATCATTAAAATTGCAACTCTATCTTATAATAATAATATAATTTCAAAACTATTATAAATATTAAATTATACATCTATGCTAGTTTATATAGTAAATAAATGATAAAAAAAAAATTTTAAAAATATATGTAAACTTTTTTTTAAATGTTATTTTATTATATTAATTATTATTTTATTTTAAAATATATTTTTTATAAAATTTGTATCATTTTCATTTAATTTTTAAATTTTTTTACGGTAATTTTATGTAAAAAATATTGAAAGAGAAAGAGAAAGAAAAACATAATATCTTTTATTTTAAGTAAATTATAATTACAAAAGTGTTACAAACAAAAATTTTATTTTTTTTAAGAGCAAAAGAATTTAATTATTTAAAATATTCTGTATTTTGATTAATAATAGAAAAAACGTAAGATTATAAAAATGAAATTCAATTCTTCTTATATAGAAAGTTTCGATCAATTGGAGAATCAAAGATAGAAAAAAAAATTTCAGGAATTGAGGTTCTCTGGATCAACATCAAGTTGCAGAAACAAAAGTAATTCTTTTTTAACTATATAATGGCATATTTATACATGTGTTGTGTGTACGTAATTTCGGTAGCATTTATTTGTCTATAAGGTTAGGTATATGAAGAATCGTGTGGCGCGCGTGGAGCATAGAAACTTGACAACCACTGCTTTGGAATTCGAGTTCTTTATTTTTATGAGAGGCAACGTCGGAAACCAGCCTCTTTGGAACCCTTCTCACCTGTTACATACCACCGGCATTTATGCTACCATTTAACCAGAAGTTAAGAGTTCTACCGTGTATAAAACATGTTCAACTATCTTGTCAATGGATTGAACGCATACTTTTTGTCTCTGCAATTTGGACTCCCAATGAAAAATAATGCCTTCTCAACCGCGAATCTTATGAATGACTTCTCGAACAAATTCGTTTCTTCATAATGGAAACTTTTGTACAAATTTGTAAAATTAAAATTAATAAAATCAATTTATTTTATTTTATTTAATAATATGTTTAAAATGCTTTAAAAATAATATTGATCTAATTCACAGAAATATTAGAAATTAAATTTTTTAAAAATACTTTTAAGATTTTATTGTATCCTCATGTCATATTTATTAGATAATATTTTCTTATTAAACAAACATTAAGGAATCTGTGGAACAAAAAAATCTTCTCTATTAATACCAATGCATTAAATTGTCATGTAGGCGTACGGTGTAATTCATGAATGGATCTACCTACACTTAATGTGTATATGTTAGCCAACAAATAATTTCCGTTCTTTCGACGTGTTAGCACGGTTTTCTAATCGTCATTTATGACGGCAGCCGTTCGCACGTGGGTGGAAAACGGTGCACGATGATTTTCAGCACCGTATATGGTCAATTTCATATTGTCATTATAACATCTTTGTTCGCTTTACTTATCATCATGTATCATTACACATTTTAAAATTCTTTGAACGTTCAATTTGAAGATATAAAGGAAAATTTATTTTATGTATATACAAGATATAATTATATCTATACATAAATATTATCATTTGTGTGTAATATCGAAGTTATAATTATATACTAAATACAATTATAAATAAACGAAAATCGAAAAATTGTTTCTTTTACTTTGAATTTTAAAAAATTATAAATTTTATGAACAATTTTCATTAATCTTTAGAAATTTAATAAAACTATTAATACAATAAAAGTTTTTATATTATATTATATTATATTATATTATATTATATTTTAAAAACTAATGCAAATTATATTATACTGTGTTTTATTGAGAGTGGAATGTGCGACCCATTTGATAGAGTGAGGATAGAAGGCACGCATTTGTGCCGAAATGACGAGCCATGATCAAAACTAGAATGAATGCGTTCTATTTCCACGTGAACTCGCCACGTTCTAAACTTAAACGTAGTTGAGTGGCATTAATTTTAGTGAT